CATTCCGTGACGGAGTCGACGAAGGTTGGAGCGAGTGGTATGGCGGCGCCTGAGGTCGGTGCTACGGCATCTCCCTCGTCGCCGGAGGTTGAATCGTTACTCGGACTCATCCTGTGTTGACGCTACTTTGTTATGTCCCACGGTGGGCGCCAACTGTTCGAACCGAGTTTGGTCTTTTCAGTGAATGAGTGACTGGACTCGTCTGTGGGTTATTTCAAATGCGTTATTTACTATTTTTGAGTCGAAGAGCGGTTTTATTAGTGAAAGAGTTCGGTTACAAATAAGGAAAGGAGAGGCGAAGCGGAGTCTCTCAAAGAGCTCAGCCGTGCCATACAAGTCGGAAATTAAAACTTGATTCGAACAAATCCTTACATAAAGCCGGCAAAGATATGACACCTTTATAAACCATAAGCTAGAGTGGTACAATCTACCACATGGAGAGAAGAGAAAACCCTAAATCAAACTCACAGAAGAGAGAATATCTAAAAACATAGTGTACCAACATAAACTTCAAGAAGAATGAAGCTAATCGATACTGGAAGCACAATTAATCAAACAAGTGAAACATATGCTTAAATTATTAGAGTTGCACGAAGGTCTCCCAACCCCGTTCCCATTAGAACCAAGAGCACAAACACTTACCACAACTTCACACGAAAGAAGCCACGAGAGAACCACTCATCAACCCGAGCAGCCAACAATGAGACAATTACGTTTGGTGATTGACTACTCCAATACCATCGCAATTGATCACAAGCTCTATACCCCTTACCAAGTAAACCAGAGAACTCGAGGAAACAAATCGAGAGACTGCACAACATCACAGCTTGACATTTCACCAAATGAAATCCTAATCGAGACACTGAGGCTTAACAACGAGACCATACCAGAACCAAAAAACGAACGTCTCTAAAAAGAAGTAAACCAAAAACCACAACAGATAAACTCCAATCGGTGTCCCAAGAAAGTTAACCTTCTCAACAAGCCGTCCTACCAAACATACTCCATTATACCAAAGACATTCAACTCTCCAAAACAAAAACACAACCTAAGAACTGACGATATGAAAAAATATTAGAGGCCAAAAGAGAAAAATAGACAGAGATACAAGTCTGATAGACGACCATTGAGTCACCTGAGAGCCGCCACCCTAGGATCGATGAAAAAGTTACACAGCCACATCATAGCCAGTATTACCTACACCGCACACCAGAAAACATATTTGATGCCAGAGAAGCAAACCAAACATAACAGGGAGTGGTCACACGAGTAAAAAAAATATTTATGTTATATCCCCTATACATTATTTGCCAAGTGATTTTTAAAAATTTTCTTAGGTGTCTTCTCTACAAAGCTTCTCACAAAATAATGATGACATGGCCTCCTTGCAAATATGACATGGCTCATGAAAAAATATGACATGGCTAATTAACATTTTAATATTAAAAAGATATATATATATATATATATATATATATATATATATATATATATTTCTATCTATGAATGTCTATGAATCTTATACAAAACGTAGCACATCGTCTTCTACAAAACGCAGAACATCGTGTGAACATGCAGCCGTCCAACTTAGTTGAAAAACAAGTATGTAATGATCTTTCTTTTGCGTATGTTCATTAACATAGTAATTCGGTCATCTTCTTTTTAAGATCACAAATTCCTTCAGGTTCAAGTGAACGATGATGAAGAATATATAGAAACTATTAAAGAAGCAAGTTTTTGGTCTTCAGCAAAGTGTCTTCGACAACTGTTTTGTACGATATCACTTTCAAATAGCAATATAACTCCAGAAAACATATGGAATGCTACTTGGAAAATTCTATCAAAAGATATAAACAATACGTCAGAAGATCCATGTAAGATTATTTGTATCCGAAACAAAATAAGTCGAATTTCCAATCTCAATGCTTATCATATTTGATTGATTTTTTTCTCTCAAGTTTTAGTTACTCAGAAGATCAAATTAAGAGTTTAGCTCAGTTGGAGACTGAATCAATGATGCGTATTAATGGAAGCTCCTTCATACTTAAGATATAATTCTCTTTTATTTTGTACTTTATTGATATTTATTAAATAACTACCTTATCAATGGTGATTTTTGTTTACTAAATATCATGTTAATGGTGATTTCTGTTTTATTAAGATCATGTTACACGTAAATTTAGCAAAATCGTAAGCTTCCTTCCAAAAAATATGATTCACACGTAAATTTTACATATTCTGTTAAATGTAAATTTCACGTAAAGCATTGGATATGAATCAAGATAAAAAAAAAATATACAATATGTATATATCTCATTAATAGATATACACAAAAGAAAAAAAAAACTTTCCAAAAGATTTGATTCTCACGAAAATTTGACATTTTGTTATAACATAAATTTTACATATTATTTTTATAAAGATATGATGCATTGGATATGAATCAAGATTTTGTTAAATATACTAAATATTTTATAAAAAAATAACATAAATTTATCTTATTGTATATATGTATATATCACATTAATAGATAAACACAAAAAGAAAATATAACTATAGAAATTTGACATTTTTTTATAACGTAAGTTTTACATATTATTTTTATATAGATATGATGCATTGGATATGAATCAATATTTTGTTAAATATACTAAATATTTTATACAAATAACGTACATTTATCTTATTGTATATATGTATATATCACATTAATAGATAAACACAAAAGGAAAATATAACTATAAAGAAGATGTGCTTCTTATTCGTTTTGACCTATTTTGTTATATATATATATATATATATATATATGATCCACTGTTTTGTAATTGACTACAGATAAAAAGTTACTCAAGTTTTCCAAAGCTTATTGCAATGTCGACTATATCAAAAAAAAAAATACATTCGTTCTTCTCAAAAACATTGATCCTGCTGATGAAACACAAAAAATCAAAGTCAAGGTTCTGGTGCTCTGGAATACCTACAAGACTTATGAGATGGTGTTAATCGATGAAGAGGTTTGTTCTAAGATGTCATGTACCTTTGTTCATGTTATCTTGGAAGTCCTTTTAATTATCGTTTATGTACTTATAGGGGACAAGGATTCATGCTCAAGTTGAAAAAGACTTGATGAAGAAACACCTAAATGTTCTGACAGAAGGTGAAGTTGTGACCATCAATGCTTTCCAGTTGAAGGACTATGTTGGGAAACTTAGAACCAATCCTCATCCTTATAAGATAACATTCTTCAGAACAACTAAGGTGAAACCAGCTGATGATTTTCTTGAGTATTATCTAGAAAAATACTTTTCAGACTTTCAAGATATATTAATCCGGAAACCTAGACAGAAACATCTTTGTTGGTAAGTTAACATAACTGTTGGTACGATTTGTAATATTTTCAAAATATATAATACTTGCTTCAATATTTTGCAGATGTTATTGGGCAAATTGTGAATATTGGACCAATGGAGCAGATTAAAACACAGGGGAAGGATAACTCCAAGCTTGACATTGTTCTTCGTGATACAATGTGAGTTTGTCTCTAAATATTCTCCTCTATTTTACATTCGAGACATACACTCAAACAACACATGTGCAGGAATGTTCATTTGACATGTACTTTGTGGAGTAACTTTGCCAAGACAGTGATGGACTATGCTAATGAGAACAGTACGTCGGTTGTTATCTTTGTCATTAAATTTGCATGCATCAAGGAATACAAAGGTAACTTATTCTGACACTTTAGTATATTAGGTTCCTTGAAGTTCCTTTTAAAAATTTTCTTATGATTTCTTTGATTCATATGTAGGTAATATCTCCATATCGAATGCGTTCAACTCGACACAAATCTTTCTCAATCCAGCAACAGAACAAGTGAAAAAGTTTACCGCCATGTAAATTACACTAACTCCAAATTTATTCTCTCAATATGAGTTGTTTACTTTATATGGTTTATTTAGATTGTTAAGTATTATATTGTTCATGCTTTTGAACACTACAAGAAATAAGGGTTTTAATAGCATAATATGATAGCATTTTTTACGATTGTGCTATAGTTGATATAGTTCTTACTTTTAGATAGCGTTTTCGAAAACGAAACGCTATGCAAAACTAAAACAGAAAAACAATTGATTTTCTCACTCACCCTTATTCCACTTTCCCTCTCACTATTTTATTTGCCTCCAAATGTAATAATTGTGGGCGTGCATTATTCATCTTTTTCTATTACGGAACAAAGAACAAATGAAGAAGAAGCAAATCTAAATCACCTCTCTCTCTCTCTCTCAACATTCCACTGTCTCTTTTCTTTATAAAGTTTTATAAAATCGCCTCACACAGATCTCTTCTCAGGTTTCTTACAGCTCATGACCAGAAAAGCTTAGAGTTTTTATTTCCAATTTTAAAGATCGGGACTTTAAGTTAGAAGATCAATTTTTTGAGTTAAAAAGAAATGGGTTCATGAGCTGGTTAAAGAAGCTGCTCTTGTCGCAGTCAGGAAAACGCATGACTCGATTCTTCAATCAGACATGGACGACGCTGTTGACCGGCTCACTGTTGGTCCGACGCGTATTGGTTTAGAATTGGGACATCAAGGTCAGTGCCGTAGAGCCACAACGGAAGTTGGAGTTGCAATCACTTCACATCTTTTATTGCGGTACGAGTATGCAAAGATCGAGCGGTGCGATCGAATCTCCATCATCCCTCGTGGTCAAACACTGTCTCAAGTCGTGTTTCATCGGCTTGACAATGAATCCTACATGTTTTGTCGTCGTCCACAACTTCTTCATCGTCTTCAGGTGCTTCTTTTACATCTCTATTAAAAACTTTTCTTTCATTTCTTTGATTATTGAGTTTTTATTGTTCTCTGATAAAAGGTCTTGCTCGGAGCAAGAGCTGCTGAAGAAGTGATCTACGGCTCAGATACTTCAAAGGCATCAGTAGATTATCTCTCAGATGCTTAGTCTAGGATCTTTGGGTTTCCGACAAAAGCTTGGAAGATCATGAATGGTCAAAAACTTGAAGAAGAAAAGATAAAGATCCAAGCCAGTGATCTTGATCTTCCTCTCTGTTTACAGATTCTAAATGATGGTTTGTATGATCTCAGCTTCCCAATTTTAAGTATCAAAGTTTGATTTAGGAGACGCTGAAACTCTTTTTTTTTTCTTTTGCAGCGATTTTGCATTTTAAGGAGGGGAACAAGAGATGCTCAGAGATTCTTAAGTGTATTCAGAGATGGGCTCCCTTCAAGGACTTGATCAAGGCAATGCAGGTCGTAAGCTAACTAAGATTAATGAAACTAGTAATGAATAGTGATCCTTTTAGATCCTAAGCTTATAGGCTTTTTTCACCATTTTCAACTTTATCATGTATGACATGCTAAAGTTTATCTGGAAGAATGTTATGGTGGCAACACAATGACACATTGATTAGTGATATAATCTAGTATGAGGAATCCTGGTCACTAGTAGTTCAGTGATCTTTTTTACTCTTTTAAGTTTATGTATCATGCTATTGCTTTCATCTCAAATCATATGTACTGAGCACTTTAGGTGTTCTTACTTGATTGTAATAATCTTTAATGCAGATGTTGTCTCGGCCGTTATTGGTTCTCACGATTGCTGAGGCTCTTACAGATCAGTCAGAAGTAAAGCAAGAAGCCCCGGGAGGTACCGCCTCTCATGCATCTGCAGAATCAGAGTCTGACCCGCAGACGTCTCAGTCTCCATCAGATATAAGGTGCATGATGTCAAAGTCTTACTTGTCAGATTGTTATATAATAGCCTGATATTGTACGACTTGAATTTGTAGTACTTGAAGCTTTGCAATTACCCTGAAATTAATAACTACCATAGCTGTATTCTGAGTATTATTTTATATATTTATCTACATATTTTAAATTTTCTATAAATGCAGAATTGAAGATGAGGCTCCAGATTCTGTAACTTCACAAGACTGGCTTACACAACTCTACAAAGAACTGGAAAAGCAGAGACTTAGCTTGCCAGAGAGGTACTGTCATATTTTAATGTTAAAGTTTATACTTGAGATCATAATCTTTCTGTCTCATTTTAATGTATAGACTCAATGAGGATGAGCTTCGTAGATTCTATAGAGTGTCAAATGGCGACTTCACATCCTTACTATCCTCAATAAAAAAGACAATCCAGTGGAGGGAGACTTACAGAATCCTATCAGAAGAAGAACTTGAGACATGGTCAAGTTTAGTCTTTTGGCATGGATATGACAATAACCAAAGACCTTGCCTCATTGTCCGCTTGGGGCTTGCTTTCCTAAAGTTGCCATCTCATGAAAGACCTTGTTTCGCTCAGGCAATCAGTACGTCATTAATTAGTGGCTCTGCTGAAACTTCAAGTATTGTCTTTTGCTACGTTATCCATTTAGTCAAAGATTATTCTTGTTTTTCTCAGTTTCTCAGGTAGAGCACGGCGTTTTGCATCTTCTAAACCCCGAGAATTCAGAACTTACAGTACTAGTGGATTGTGAAGGATTATCTCCTCTGAGGATTCCGATGCAGATGTTGAGATCATGTTCTTCAGTTCTTCAAGATCACTTCCCTAACCGTCTTGGCTGCCTATTCATCATTCGCCAAAGAAAATTAGAACATGCTCCTTCTTAAAGTCTGTCGTTAGTGTTTTCTGTTGATTTTGGTTGTGCTATGATGTTCACAGGTGGAGTAAGAAATTTGATAGCCTTGTAGGAGTCCGGTTTTGATCAGGAATGTCAAACAAGGAAAGGGAGTGACGGTCAGTACTTGGTCTTCCAGAGCTTATAAAAGATATGTCAGCATCTGGAATTGATAGATCTCCATATGATGCTCTCCCATTCAACCCTCTTCTAGTGAAAGGTGGCCTGTTTTTAACCAAAGAAGTTTCATTGTCTGATTGTGAGCATGTCAAATGAAAAAAAAAACAAGATATAAAGTTTCATTGTCTGATTGTGATTATTCTTAACTTTGTATGTTATAAAACTCATCGTTGAGTTTGTTAGTTGTCTTTTGTTCCAAACTCTGTTTTTAAACACTTAAAACTAATGTTTAGATAAATTATAAATAAAAGCATAATTCTATACCCTAAACTCTATTTCATAAACCATAATTTAAATTGACATACCCCAAACATTAATAACAAATTTTAAATTTAAATCTAAAGTTAAATTCGTAAACTTTATTGATGTTAGTGTAGGATTATATGTAAAATGTATGTTTTATGAATTTAATGCAATGTTTATTTTGGTTATACTAATAACAAGTTAAAAAAAAACTCTTTTTATCTCAAGATCTAAACCCTAAACATTCCCTAAACCTAATATTTTTCACCTCAAGATATATAAATGTAAAACCAAAGGATGAAAATGATAATTAAAGTTCTGTTATAATATATATATATATATATATAATAGTTTAGGGGTTTATATATCTTGTGTGGTATTACTATATGGAGTTTGGTGTACTTAAAACCCTAAACCCCAAAAATTAACTCCAAACCTTATATCATACTTCAAACTTTTAACTAAACTCTAAAATTTATTTTTTTCAAAACTCACTCTTAATATCCAAACTTCAAACACCATAAACATTACCCTAAACTCTAACCCCTAAACCACATATCTCATTTTAACATATATCATAAAACATTAGATCTTAACTTTTAAATGAATTATATTTCTGCAAATAAATTAAAATTTCAAATACAAATTTAGATTTCAAAATTTAAATTATGATTCCAAATTACTTAAAGCNAACATTACCCTAAACTCTAACCCCTAAACCACATATCTCATTTTAACATATATCATAAAACATTAGATCTTAACTTTTAAATGAATTATATTTCTGCAAATAAATTAAAATTTCAAATACAAATTTAGATTTCAAAATTTAAATTATGATTCCAAATTACTTAAAGCTTAAATATTTTTTATAATAGTTATAAATAAATAAGAAGACAATTTGTATTGTCTTTTTTTTTGAACCCTTGATTGATTTGAATCAAAGGTCCAAAATCACTCTTATATCTATCCTCACCATTTTTTTCTATTGGTTATAAAGTTGTGTGTGGATTGATAATATTAACCATAGATTAGATATTTTGAAGGGTTCAGATTAAATATTTTGTGTTTCTCTCTCTCTCCCCCTCTATCTCACGCTTCTTCTCTTCATCTCTCTCTCTCAAACAAAAAGAACGACGAGATTCAGTTCCTCTCTCTCTCTCTCTCTCTCTCTCTCTCTCTCTCTCTCTCTCTCTCTCTCTCTCTCTCTCTCTCTCTCTCTCTCTGTGGAAACCAAGGCAGAGGGGATTTTCTATTGGAAGGATCACTTATGTGCCACCATCATTAGAGGAAGTGTATTATTTACGGGGTTTGCTAAATATATAGTCAGAGGTTCAACAAGCTTTGAAGAGATAAAAACAGTAAACGGTTTCTCCACGAGACATACAAAGATGCATGTTATGCATTGAGTTTGCTGGACGATGATAAAGAATACATTGAAGCTATTAAAGAAGAAATTCTTTGGAGCTCGGGAAAGTATCTACGGAAGTTGTTTTCAATAATATTGCTCTCAAACAGTACCAAAACTCCAGTAAATGTATGGAATGCTACATGGTAAATACTATCTGAGGATATATTATACAACCAGTGGAAAAAAAAAGAAGAATCCCAGTAAGATCATTTGTAATACCGTTTTTTAAAAATAAATATATCAATCATTATATGTTTGAGTTTCAGTTCCTTCTTTTTGGGTTTCAGATTTGAGTTTATCCGAGGATCAAATAAAGAACTTTGCTTTGGCGGAGATTGAATCACTCATACGTATCAACGGAAGCTCACTGACCAAGTTTAACGGTATGCCATGTCCAGATGCTTATGCATATGATATTGATGTTAACACTTTGATCAGTAACGAGCTAAACTACAACCATGATGAGCAAAGGGACAAGCACGGAGAGCTATTAGCCAAGATAACATATGAGCAAAAAGCTGTGTACCAAGAGATACTAAATGCAGTAAATGGCGATAAAGGTGGTATGTTTTTCGTCTATGGCTTTGGAGGGACTGGAAAAACTTTTCTTTGGAACATCCTAGGTGCTGCAGTTAGGTCATTAGGAGAAATAGTGTTAAACGTGGCATCCAGTGGAATTGCTTCATTTCTTTTGCCAGGTGGCCGGACAGCTCACTCAAGATTTGCAATACCAATTAATGTGAACAATTTTACGACATGTAAAATGAAAAAGGATTCAGATCAAGCAGAATTGGTACAACAAGCTAAACTTATAATTTGGGATGAAGCTCCAATGATGAGCAAATACTTTTTTGAAACTGTGGATAGAAGCTTGCATGACATAATGGGATGCGATGAGCCTTTTGGAGGTAAAGTTGTTTTTGGAGGAGACTTTAGACAAATTCTACCGGTAGTAACAGATGGTGGTAGAGTAGAGACAGTTTTGGCTTCTCTGAATTCATCATATCTCTGGAAAAGCTGCAAGGTTCTAAGACTTACAAAAAACATGAGACTTATGGCAGGACTTGCCGATAGCGAAGCTAAAGAACTTGAAGCTTTTTCTAAGTGGATTCTAGACATTGGTGATGGAAATATCAATCAACTAAACGATGGAGGGGTTGAGATCGATATTCCTGAAGATCTCCTGATAACTGAGTGCGAAAATCCTATAGAAACCATAGTGAAGGAAGTTTACGGACCATCATTTGCAGAGATACGATATCCCAATTTTTTCAAGGAAAGAGCTATATTGAGTCCACGAAATCAAGATGTTGACAGTACCAACGAGTATATGTTATCCCAATTATCAGGTAGCATACTAATTATTTAAATATTAACTTTATTTGTTGCAGTCAAGACATCTAATCTTATGTACACTGATTTTTATTCCTTATAGGTGAAGAAAAAATTTATCTAAGTTCTGATGGTTTTGATACATCGGAAAAAGGCCCAAAAAATAGCATGGTTTACTCTCAAGAGTTTCTAAACAGCATAAAGATCTCTGGATTGCCAAACCACTGTTTGAAGCTAAAGGTTGGTGCAATAATTATGCTACTTAGGAACATTGATCCTCAAGGTGGTTTATGTAATGAAACAAGGCTGCAAATTACTCAATTGGCTGATCATGTTATTGAAGCTAGAATTATAATGAGGAAAAAGAATGACGCAGAAGGTGGTGAAAGGGTCTCAATTTGTATCTCCACCAGAGACCAGATTTCCTTTCAAGATGTGTCGTAGACAATTTCCCGTTGCGGTTGCTTTCGCAATGACCATAAATAAGAGTCAAGGTCAAACACTAGAAAAGGTTGGTTTGTATCTTCCAAAACCAGTTTTTACTCATGGACAATTGTATGTTGCAGTTTCAAGAGTAAAACCAAGATCAGGCCTAAAAGTTCTTATCACCGACAAACACGGCAAGCCTCAAAGAAAAACAATGAACGTGGTGTACAAGAAAATCTTTCAAAACATTGACTAAGTTTCTTTTTCCTTTTTTACCCGAGCAAATCATATTACTGAAGTTGTATTTTAGATTCTGTATTTTCAGTTTTTTTGTTTCATGATTTAATATTAATTTTAAGGCCATCAGAGTAGCAATGTTGGTCCTAACCAGTGTGAGACCACCTCTAAGAAAATCATATCCCATGTCCAAAGAGGAAGAGATTTGGCTAAACTTGGGATAAATCAGACAATAGTAGAGACTAGAAAACGAGTTTGTTGTCAGCCTAAGATCGTCAAGAATGGTTTGTTTCCAAGTCTGTGGAAGAGATAATATTACTAGCTGCTTTTTTTTTTTTTTTTTTAACACCATAATATTAGTAACAATAAGAAGAGTAAAACATGTGGACGAGGAGGAATGGTGAAATCCAAAGAAGCATGAAAACAAATTTGAGAAGTTGTGGGATTATAAAAAATAGAGAACTCTGCTTTCGCAACACTTACATTAAGGTGTTTTTATAATATTATGATCGATATTTTATGTCTTCAAAAACATGTGTAACTTACACAAAATTACACAGCATTGCTTCATGCATATATTAATAACACAAACATACCATTACATTCATAACCTTGCATAAGAAAACAAGCACACAACATTACTATCACAAGTAACTTAGAAAAACAAGTGAGCAAACGTAGAAACCGTAGAAACCGTGAATACAACACATGAGTTTTTCAAAGAATCAGTGTAATTTTTGACAAACTGGTATGCCCTTTTGAAGTAGTAACACTCCTTGCAAAACTCTTTCATGTCATAACGATCGCACTTTGACCGTGGGGCAAGGTTAACCATGTTTATATAGTAGTCTTGCTGGTATAGTAACATCGAATTTTTTGAGTGAGATCTTGAAACTTTCCCAGCATTTATCAGAGGTAGACATTTTCTTTGACCGTTTGAGTTTATCCAAATACTTTATGCCTTTAAAATAGTGACCTCGGACAAGCATTAACAAACCATAAACATACATACTGTTTTTATTGTTTCCAAGAGCTGCTAGACGTAGACGACGAAGACCTTTGTGTTCTTCCTTGTGGACAAAGTATTGTAATAACCCTTCAATATAGTACGCTTCGGGGTTATTATTCTGTAAGCAAAGTTCCTTTAACTTTGCATGGTCGTCGAGCATCAGTAGTGGCTGAGCAACAAAATATCTGAGATCCATGTTTCGGAAATAGTGGCTGCGATCTAAGTTCGAGTCACCACTCTCCCCATCGTAGTCGGAGGCCGCATTCGTATCGTTGGTGTAGAGGGCATCACTGTCGTCGCTGTTGTAATTCTTCACAGAGTTTTCGGAACCCATTTTGTTTTGTTTTTATTTCGATACTCTCACTTTACTGCTTAAAGTTGTGAAGAAGATATATGATTGCTTAAATAAGAAAGAGTAGAAGAGTATATGAAAACATAAAAGGATTGATACAAAGCAATATCATCCCTTTATTGGAAATTGCATCGAATCTATGATGGTCTAACCCACTTACTTGAAAAAGCAAAAAACAGAGGAGGACTGAAGAGAGAAGAAGACAAATAACGAAACAGGTTTGCCTCTATCACTCTCTGTAATCTTTGAAAGAAAGATATCAAAGGCTGTTTTCGAATGGAGGAATATTTTGGAAGTAGAAAAGATAACACTGTTGTTCAATGTGTTGTCACATAATTTTTCTTTCAAGAATAATGGTTTTGAATAATGGTTCTTTCAAGATAGAGAAAAAAGCTGATGTAAAAGGTGATAACACACTGATCAAAAACAAACATTGCTAGCATCTCCCTAGATAAAGACAACATATCAAACTTCAATTGCTTGATACAACACTGGAAAAAGTGACTCTTTCTGCATATTCTCTACATTACAGTCATTACATGCAAAGAAATTTTGTGTAGTATTATCAAGACTTTAAACTTTAATTAAACCTTATCGAAGAACATGAGAAACATATCTCAGAAATAGCTGTCCATAGATAACTAATGAATAGCTTAATATTTACTTTATACGATTGATTTGGTGCTCATTAGATGATGAGATTAAAGCTGGATTGTGTTTAAGCTGGAATATTGACTCAACAAGTAGATATATTCCAAATTCACAATTTCCTTCTTATAAAAGAAAACAAAAGCAGAGACTGAAAAAACAAAAGTCTCAACTGAATTATGAATCCATATCGTACCGTTTACGGTTCCTACACTAAACTCTCTTCACAGCGAAAAACACAAACAAATGGTTATGAACTATTAATCTACTCAAACGACCTATATAATTCAACAAAACTTTGTTAAACTATGCATGAAGAAAAATAATATCTCACTATGGATATACTCTTCTTCGTCACCATAATCATCCTCTGGAGTATATGTTAATATGCTAATCTCACGCGCGCGGACGGATCACCTAGTAGAATTTAATTAAGATAAAAATATTAGATAATAACATATAATAGTCATATAAATTTGCTAGTCTCTCCTCACGCCAAGTTTCGTAGTATAATAATTCACATCAACGTGAAACCCTAATCCCCAAATCTTACGGCAATCGAGCCTGCCTTCAGCCTTGTAAAAGGTATATTCTTCTTCCAGACTTTATCAATACTCCTGTTCACACCCTTGATCACCTTGAAACTTCGTAGTTGGTCTATCGATTTCACGTTTTTTTGGTTAATCTGTAATCATCAGACTAATCTTGTGATGTTCTGTTATATTGGTTTTCTTACAGATTTATTGTAATTGATTGCTGTTTTCTTCCTTGATATTTAGATTGTTTCTTTCTTTCTTTTTCAGATCAACTGCTTGCTTTTGTTAGTGAACTTTCTAAATGAGATTCAGAAAAGGAAGTAGAGTTGAGGTTTTGAGTCTCAAAGAGGCACCTTATGGTGCGTGGCGAGCTGCCGAGATTCTTTCGGGTAATGGTCACATTTACTATGTTAGATACTACTCTTACGGGCTTGCAAAGGACGCCCCATTGGAGGAGAGAGTTGCAAGGAAGAGCATCAGGCCGTGTCCTCCGCAAATTGATGTACAAGACAGATGGGAAGCTGGTGAGCTTGTTGAGGTTCTTGATAACGTTTCTTGGAAAACCGCTACGGTCCTCGAGGAGTTGTCTGGAAGATACTATGTGGTTCGGTTGCTTGGTGCAGCACTGGAACTAACGGTTCATAAAGTTAACCTCAGGGCTCGACAATGTTGGCAAGATGAAACATGGGTTCTGATTGGAAAGGTTAGTTTATCGTTGTATAATGGTCTTAAAGTAATGAGTGCTAAATGGAGTTAAAATCATCGTCTCGCAGGTATCTTGTTCTGTGAAGTCCTCGACGCTGACTGGATCAGATGTAAACCAGAATATTAAGCCACATGAGAAGAGTGTTGTTTCTGTAAGAGTGTTAAAGAGACCTTCACCCTGCGAGTCGGCTGAATCATTCACGGGAAGTCCTAAGAAGAAGATGCGATCCATGGAGGAAGGTGATGCTGCTTGGTGTGGTAAACTGCGTCTGCAAGCTTCTGTTAACAATGGTTTCCGTCAAATGGTGAGTGTAAGATCAAAAAGGTCTAGTGAATGTGTTGTTGGTACAGGAAGCTCAGTCTATAATGGTTGTTGTGATACTGATGCATGCTCGGTTGGTAGTTGTAGCCCTATTAGATATGATGAGAGTGATACATCAGCTTCTTTTCTAGATGGCTCTTCTAGTCAAGACGCCGACCCTTGTAGTAGTGATGCAGAATCTTCAAAAGGATGCAGAGAAGAAGCAGTGAGGAGGCCATGTAGGCCCGAACTATACACATACCGTAGAACACTGGGGAAGTTATTTGCTTCGGGACCTTTGGATTGGAATCAGGAAGCATCACTAACCGATCTCCGACTTTCTCTAAATATATCAACTGATGAACATTTGATGGAGATAAGAAATCTAAAGTCTGTTGGTACAACACATAGTGAATTTTGTTAGTATCAATCAGGATTCGTTCTTTGTTTTTTTTTCCTTTATGATACTTAACAGTCTTATCTTCAGGTGTTGGCAATACTTCCCTGCAATGTGGAATCAAGTGTTACATATTGTTGTTTTACAAGAGGGTTCTTATAGTGATTGTATAGGCAAACAGAATGGAAGAAAGCATGTATGGAAACTCCAATCCTTTATTGTGATGTCTTTCTTCTAACAGTCAGCTTAGTTTAATTTTATTGTAATTTCTGGATAATAAAGTCTGAGAGAAGTTAACAGTATTTATGCTCTAAGATACGTCCTGATTATGAAGCTGTTTTAAATTTATGCTTTCGAATCTTATGCTCAAGATAAGATGAGTCATTTGTGTTTTCCTTATTATTGGTGGATTATTGAAACTCCTCTACATTTTTCAGGAACAGGGTAGCCCTGTTGGGTACTTGCTTCTAGAGATCTTACTCTGATAAATGGGGTTTACAACCGCGATGCCCCCTTCTTCCTCAAACACATAAGTTCAAACTATGACGCTGTTTTTTTTCCTGTTCTTTTTGGGTTGTACATAACTCATCTGTTTCAGGTGTTTTTGGACCAACTCTGTTGTGCACAGGCATTGAACTGTCGTCCAAGGAGAAACACTAACAGTGTAGCTTGATAAGTTTTTCTGATGATCGGTAAGTATTAAGTGCATTTGTGCCGAAAGTCTTGGTTCATGAAAACATGTTTCTAACTGAGAAAGAATTGAGTTGTGTCGAATACTTTGACAATAGTCTTTGCGCATTAAGCAAATGTGTTGCGTAGGTGTGATTTTCATTATTTTTTCTTCTAGTGACGAAATAGTCGATTCTTGTTAGCTTGTGGCATGTGTATTGTGGAAATTCTCTGCTGACATTTTCACAGACCATGAAAATCCCTGCAGTTATTTGTTGAGAACTTGAGGGCACAACATTTCAAGCTGAGAGATAAGCCTAAAACATATCAAACTTATCTAGCTTCTCGCTTGTCACCTTCAACTTTTGCCCTGCCTAAGCTAGCCGTGTGGAAAACGTACCATTCATCCAAGTACACAACGTCTCTGCTTTCGTCTGTTTTATTTGATATTTTTTTGTTATATAAACTGGTAAGATTGAAATCTCCAAACTAGTGTAATCAACCTGTAACGATGAGCCACTCCCAAAGAATACTGTATTATAGAATTGCATAGACGATTACAACTATCAACTGACACAACCGTTGCTCGTTTCTTCGTTTCCTCCACTTATTTTACTTCTTCAATTCTCCTCATTTTCTTTCGGTAATAGCTCTGATCTAGCAAATCATATACAAGATATTACTCCCTCCCTTCCTTAAAGATACATATTCTAGAAAAAAAATTTGTTCCTAAAAGATCTATTTTTTACATTTTTAATGCATGTTTTATTAACTAATTGTAAACTTCAAAAAACTTAATTGCACTAATTGATTTTTTATTGGTTTAAAATTATGGAAAGAATATAAATACAAAAAACTATGCAAATTTATTGTGTTTTATTAAAAAGTGTGAAAAAACTAGAATATAGATCTTTTAGGAACAGAGAGAGTAATAGTTAGCAACAAACTTGTCGTTTCAGAATATGTAAATTTGAATCCTCTGGACTTGTGTACCAAGGTTGTCTATTTAAGTTAGTACGTACAAATAATAAGTGCACTCTATAAGCTGTTGCTTTGTGTGTGCATATGCATAATTCAATAACAAGAAGTAAAAGAAGCCTGACTTGAGTAGTTGAGTTCATTAGCAATGAGGTTGGACTACAATCAGCCAAAACTTTTAGAAACCGATAAAGAATGCTTAAAGATGCAGAACTCCGAATCTTCTCGTTCCAGTTTGACCAAAAAAGAAAGAACTCCGAATCTTCTCGTTCCAGTTTGACCCTCTCAACCTGCAATGCTTAAAAATAGAACTTGATGATGATAATGATACATTCTCTCAGAAGATGACCATAAGGCACATATAATTTTCTGCTGTAGAATTGTCTGACATGAGTTAAGGCAGGATGTGACCATCAAGACTAGGATCTTGGATGTTGCCTAGTGCCTACCCACATTCTTGTAAGAAGTTTTCCTAAGTTCAAGTTGAATGCTGCTCCATTGGTCGTAAGAAGAAATTAAGGCTGCTGCAACCAAGAAAGAGGTTTAGGCCTCTCTCTCTTGGTTTGATTGTTATTATTGATTGTGTTTAAGTGTTTGTATCAAATGATAGAATCAATGATCAAATAATTGAGTTTTTTCTGTAATGTCCTGCAACCGAGCAAGTGAAGAAGAGCAACCACGTTCAATGAAAGCTATAGAGAAACGTCTACAAGGTCAGTCCCGACTCACATCTTGAAACTGGTCGACCGTTGGAGTTTTCATCTCATCAAGACTTGGTCAAGATGGGTAAAATATTTCTAGTCTTCTTTTGTATAGTCTGCATCAAATTTATCACATTGACTTTAAGGCTCCTATTCTTACCCTTGTTCGGTTAATATATGAAACATGTATATGTTGGACGGGAACGATCTCGTGATCTACTTGAAGAAAAAAAAAAAAAAAACTACCGTAAATTATCGAAGAAGAACGGCAAGAGCGCTGGTACTGCTTAACAACATCTTTCGTTTCATACTTTCGTCTTTCATTAATATCAAAGTTTTGTTCAGTTTTAGTGTCTTTTTTCTTCTTTAACTGAAGTTTAAACTTGGGTCATCGACATGCTTTGATTTTGTAGCATTAGGATTATTTCGTTACTTTAAGTTGCTAAATGTTTTCAAAGTCAATATTCGATATAAATGATACTATGCAAAGACTTATCTGTAAAATATTGTTTCCAGCTATGAAATGTATGAAGTCAAAAAAATAATTCAACTTGTATGATTTATTTTCATTTTGTCTCGAAGAGACATCCAAATGTTACCGTCTAGGAGGCATCATAAGGAATGTGACCAAGACCAGTTCAAATAGGAAGAAGTTGTGTAGCTGATGTCATTAGCAAAGTCAGAAGAGAGGAAACTTCCCTAGGGTCAACTTTTAGTTTCCTTGTTAGTTCTTATGCTTACATTTTTCTGAGATTAGTAGCCAAACATTAACTGTGAGCAAATTTGGGGGATGGCAGGAGCTATTATACAGTTGCTGAGATTATGGATGTTAGCTTCAGTCCAGATGATCTCGATCGTGTTAGCTCAAGATGGTAATCAGTTTGTGTATTACGACTTCAGGAAAGCAGATCTATACGTTGATGGCATGGCAACCACCAAAGATGGCCGACTGAAACTTACTAATAGCTCAAAGAGAGCCACTGGGCATGCCCTCTATAACAAACCAATAACTTTCGTAGACTCTTCATTTTCTTTCTCCACCGAGTTCGTCTTTGCAATAGTTCCAGAAGAGCGTACCAGCTACGGTCAAGGAATGGCTTTTGTTGTCTCTCCAAGCATCAATGATCTAAGGTATGGTGCAGCAACATCTTATCTAGGGATATTCAATAGAACAAACGATAACAAAACCGAGAATCACATACTTGCCATAGAGTTTGACACTAATGCAAGCTCTGAAGCCCTTGAAGATAGTGATAACCATGTAGGGATAGACATCAACAGTATAGTATCGGTGGAATCTAAGGATGCTAGTTACTTTGATGATACGGTAGGGCTGAACAAGAGTCTGGTGCTTGCAAGCAAAGAAAGAATCCATATATGGATAGAATATGATGGAGACCAAAGATTGCTAAACGTAACTCTTGCTCCTCTGGAGATCCCAAAACCAAGCTTGCCTCTTTTGTCAAGATCTGTAAACCTTTCCCAAGTCTTCAAGGAGCAAATGTTTTTTGGTTTCTCGGGGAGCACGGGTACAATCAGAAGTCATCAATATATTCTTGGATGGTCATTGGCAGTAGGAGGAAAAGCAAGAAGCCTTGACATTTCTCAAGTTCTTGATCTCCCTCAACCACCACCTAATCACTTACCGCTTATACTTGCTGTTGCAGCAGTAGTTACTTTCCTGATAATAGCAGGCGGGATAGCATACCTTTACCAACGAAATAGGTATGCAGAGGTGTTTGAACAATGGGAATTAAAATACAGCCCCCAGAGATTCTCCTTCAGAACCCTTTACAAAGCAACCAAAGGTTTCAAGGAGAATAGAGTACTTGGAGCAGGAGGTTTCGGCAAGGTTTATAGAGGAGAGCTTCTTGATGGCACTCAAATCGCGGTCAAGAGAGTCTCCCATGGAGCAGAACAAGGAATGCAAGAGTATGTTGCAGAAATTGCTACTATGGGAAGACTAGCACACAGGAACTTGGTTCAGCTACGTGGTTACTGCAGAAGGAAAGGTGAGTTGCTTTTGGTCTACGAGTACATGGTCAATGGAAGTCTTGCTGATCACTTGTTCAATGGAAACAATCTTAGCTGGTCTCAAAGATTTCATATTGTAAATGGAGTATCCTCTTGCCTTTGTTATCTACATGAAGGTTGGGAAAAAGTTGTACTGCATAGAGATATAAAAGCGAGCAACATTCTCTTGGACGAAAATTTAAATGGGAAACTTGGAGATTTTGGGCTTGCTATATTCCATGACAGGGGTGCTACTTTTGAAGCCACACGTGTTGTGGGAACCATTGGTTACATGGCTCCAGAGGTTACCGCAATGGGCGTGGCTAGTGAGTCTACTGACATCTATTCTTTTGGAGTACTCATGCTTGAGGTGGTTTGCGGGAGGCGGCCGGTGGAGCCAGAAAGGTCACCGGGGCAGAAGATTTTGGTTGAATGGGTTGCCAGTTGCGGGAGAAGAGGTGCTTTACTAGATAGCGTTGACATTAAACTAGCAGGAAATTTTGAAGTTGAAGAAGCTATGCTGCTTTTGAAGCTAGGCATGATCTGTTCACAGAATGACCCACACAAGAGACCTACTATGAAAGATATAACAGAGTATCTTGAACAAAAGAAACGGCTCCCATACATTGCATTTGATACAGCTGAGTTTGGGATACCCATTGTACCCATAATAAGCGATGAAACAGTAATAGCACAAGGACCTGCTCTGTCGTTTGCTAGTTTCTTATATGACACCATTACAGTGTTATTTAGAGGTCGTTGAAACCTGCATCATGGGTTAGTAAACATACAAGAAAACATGCTGTGAATATTTGTGTTTATCATGTGTTAAGTTTGCAAATAATTAGTGAAGAAAGGATGACAATGTGATATGTCTACAATCTTCTCAAACGTGAGAAAATTTACTGTATGTATATATCATTTGTATCATTGCAGAAAAAGTGAAAGAATAGCCTTTCAAGAAGAAAAAGAGTTATGGTTATAGTTAAGGCATGTTTGCCATACGGACCATCTGAATGTAGATGAAAATTGATGTTCGTTTGATGTTAAAATGGATATATATGTCCAAATGATTAATCTAGATGAGTTTTAAAATTTTAGTCTTAAATGAGATTAATCCAGATGGCTTATCCAAATGAATTTAACTGATGATGCATATGGATAGAGATAAACCTATCGAAAATAATATATAATGAATTTAACCTTATTCTAATAAATATTTATATTCAAGTTTAGACAAATTAACAAATATGATATAGTTTTTTAAAAAATTATAAAATTATATTTCTCTACCAAAATCGAAAAAACATAGTTTTCATCAAACAAAAGTCACCTTTCCGTCAAACTGTAAAAATGCATTTTTTCCTCAAAATCACAAAAACATATTTCCTACAATAAAAGAAAGTCAAAACGCATTTTTCCGCCAAAAACGTATTTTTCCTCCAAAGCCATAGAAAAAAACAAATTCTAACAAAATCATGAAATCAATTTTTAACGTGAAAACCACAAAAATGTAATCCCGCCAAAACTTCAAGAAACACATTTTCTCGCCAAAAACATAAGAACGCATTTTTCCCCCAAAGCTGCAAAAATGTTTTTTTCTCACCAAAACAGCAGACACAAATTTCCCGCCAAAACCGCAAAATCGAAATTTCCGCCAAAACTGCAAAAAATGTAATTTTCCACCAAAACTGCAAAAGTGTAATTTTCCACCAAAACTGCAAAAAATGTAATTTTCCGCCAAAACTGCAAAAATGCATTTACTTGTAAAAATCGTAAAAACACATTCCAAAACCGTTAAAAATGCATGTACTTACGAAAATTGTAAAAACACATTTTTCTGCCAAAAACGTAAAATCACGATTTTTCCGCCAAAAACGTAAAATCACATTTTCCCGACAAACCCACAAAACTATTCTCCTGCCAAAACCACAAAATTATGCTTTCTCTCTAAAACCAAAAGAATCATAGTTTCTCGACAAAATCACAAAAATGTATTTTTTTGCTAAACTGTAAAATCATATTTCCCACCAAAGTCATATTTTAGATAGTTAATAAAAATTAATATAACTAAAACGATAAATGTGTTTAAATCAAAACAAAGATTAGTCATGTGTTTAATAAATTCATCTAAATGGAAATAAAGATGAACATACGAACATAAGTTCATTTGGATGTTCCATTTAGATGAACTATCTGGATGAAGAAACAAATAGTCTCGAATAATATCCAAATGAATTATTTGGATGAATCATCTGAATGAAGATAACAGATGAAAAAAAGAATATCATGGTAAATGATGCTGATTCTTGTACTAATGAAGCTGAATCTTCAAATGAAGTAGCAAGACGCAGGTGTGTTGGGTCAACTTTGCGCACATGGTTATGAACTGTTCGTAGCCATTGAAGAGAAATATTTACCGTCTGATTGGCCAATAGGATGAAGGGTAGGTATTAGTTGCCCTATACTGTCTGCTTATGTGGAATACTTTGAATAGTCTTCTATGCTCTGTCAACAAATGTGTTACTGATAGTCTCCTTGGTAGTTTGTGGCAAGTGTAATGTGGAAATTCTTGGCTGGAATTGCTATTGCCATCAAAATGTACACCAAAACCTGCAACTAGTGCACATACATTTCACGTGAAAAAACATACTTCACGCGAAAATAAAACATATTTCAGGTTCGTAATTACAAAGTAAAAAATAAATGTCCCTCACTTTTCTTTATATTGTTAACATCCTTTCTGATATATATATATACAATTTTTTTTCATTTATTTTTTTTATTTATCTATATAATAAATTATATAATACCAATATACCAAAAAATAAGAATATAGTATTTTCTCTCTTTTCTGTATTTCTTTTATTTTCTCTCTAAAAAAATAACAATTTTTTTTCAGATCTAAGTCCCTAAGGCTTGGTTTTCGGTTCTCTTCTGGGCTGTGAGGACCCTTCTTTTTCCTTTGTTTTTTTGGCTGGAGGCTCAAATGTGCATTCATGATTGTCTTGGTTCTTTGATGTGGCGTACTAGAGTTATGCAGTGTTCTGGCGGTGTCCTAGTGGTGGTCGCTTCGTGTGGTGGCCATGCATGCTCAGATCTTTAGAGATAAGATCTGGTGTCACGCTTTCTTTTGGATTTGCGACACTCCTCCCATTTTGTGATATCCTGGGGTATCCGGTAATAGATTATCAGTGTAGAAGGAAGTTAGTGACTCACTACAGTGGTGGTTGCGGTGAGGAGGTGGTGGTGGTGCTTGAACTGCTACACTCGATGAGTAAGCTTACCACTTTTTGGACAATTGTGTGTCTTGAAAGGGGATTATGACGACGGTTAACTACTAGTAAAACATAAGATCGCTCAGTATCATCACCTCCGCTCTCCCCTTCCTAAACCATTTTGACGAGTCTTCTCATTTATGATTCTCCATTTGTGATTGCATTTTTGGTTTTCGTTAGGTTGCAGTTCTGCTGAAAGTTCTCGTGTTTCGGTTCTTCTTCAGCTTCAGACCCTCCTTCTCTTTATGGTGGCTCTAGTAGTTCCATTCTCTGTGGACGTGTGTTCATTGGCCGCGACTATCTTCAGAGTGGAGACTAAGATTTTCGATCGCTGGATTGGACCATTTTATGAGTTAGAACTCTTGAGACCTATTTATCCTAAGTCTTTTGGGGGTCTTCTTAGTGCATCAGCAGTGTTGGTTTCTCCACCAATCTCTCAAGACCAAAATAATAAATGAAATTAAAAGACGAAGAGAAAGAAAAAAAAAGAGGAAAATCTTATGTTTCAGAATAGTTTCAGCCAGGGACGACTCAATATTTATTTGGGCCCTTGGGCAAAAAAAATTTTTTGACTTTTAATATTTATATTTATTAAAAATTAAATGTCTTTTTTAAAAAAATTAACATTAACATCTTTAAAAAATTTGTTATGAAAATAAATTATGTATATGTAAAATAATTTAGGACCCCTATTCAATTAAAATATGTAAATATTTAAAATTTTCTATATAAAATATGTATATATAAAAAATATTAGACCTCTTAATTAGTAAAATTGGGGGACACAGGTTTGGACCCGGGGCGGTCGCACCGTTTGCCCCCATATAAACCGGTCCTGGTTTCAGCAATAAAATGAAGAAATTTTTATCTCACGTATCTCTTTTTTAGTGGTTTAGTTTTATTTTGTTTTAAATTTTAATAACAAAAGTAAAGTAAATTAGTATTATATGTGTTTGGTACTCTCTTCACATACTTTATCAATGTAGGTGTTCTTAGATTTCTGTAATTTTTTCCTTGAATTTTTGCTTCTTTTTTTTTGTTTTCGTTTTCGATACCGATTTCTTTTTATTTTCTTCAAATTATAATAAATTCATTATAAATATTTGTCAATTTGTTAATTTGGAAATTTGTTATGTTTGGAATCTGCCACTTTTGTGGCGAGAAAGAGAAAAAGGAGGGAAAATAACGATTCCCAGCTCAGGCCCACAAGGAGGAAAAATGGGAAAAAGACCAACGTATATATAAAAAGTAAAATTAGAAACCGGAGAAATAGCAGGAGATCAAAACCCTTTTGATTCTCCTTTCTTGAAACCAAAATCTAAAATCTCAAATCTAAATGGATAAGAAGAAGAAGGTATGGTTTTGGGGAGATAATGACGGCGGAGGAGAAACAGGGAAGGAGGCGGAAGATGACGTGGCAGGTAATCTGTCTCGAGACGAGACAATGAGCCAATACAGCCATAGCAAAGGCCTTCTTCCTTCTCTCGGAGCCACCGCTCGTTCTTCCCGTGACGCCAATCTCCGTCGCTTTATCATCTCTCCTTTCGATCCTCGCTACAGGTTCCATTCTTCTCTTCTAATTTTATGTTTCCATTCTTCTTTGTTCTTATTTAACATTGAATGCATGCGCGTTTTATGTTCTGTCTTCATGGGTATCTTTGTCATGTTGTTAAGACACGTGATTGTTAAGACACACATTGCTTATTGTGTCTACCTTGGCATAAATCTCTACTTAAAATCTAAAAGTTGCATTTATTAGTATATATATATTCGGTAATAAGTTGTGCATGTGCCTTGAAAGTTGTGTAATTTCAGATAAGACGTTTTAAATTACATTTATCACTCACGTAATTGTCTTATTACAGAGCATGGGAGACGTTCTTGGTGTTTTTGGTGCTCTATACAGCTTGGGCGTCACCTTTTGAATTTGGGTTCTTGCAAAGGCCAAGAGCACCTCTCAGTATTCTCGACAACATCGTGAACGGATTCTTTGCTGTGGATATAATCCTGACATTCTTCGTTGCCTTTCTTGACAAGGTAACGTACCTCCTCATCGATGATCCAAAGAGAATCGCTTGGAGATACGTGTCGACTTGGTTTGCTTTTGATGTGATATCAACTTTTCCTTACGAAAGTTTCGGGAGCTTTCTCCACGAGAGTATTCAAGGGTATGGGATTTTCAGTATGCTACGTCTATGGCGTCTTCGGAGAGTCAGTAACTGTTTCGCCAGGTTAGAGAAAGATAGGAGATACAGCTACTTCTGGGTTCGATGCACGAAGCTTCTCCTTTGTACTCTTTTTGTGATTCATTGTGGTGCTTGCTTCCTCTATTCAATTGCTTCGCATTATCCAGACCCTTCCAAGACGTTTATGGCATTAACCGATGAAAACTGGAAACAGTCTCCTCTCGCTGTGCAGTATAACACGGCCATGTACTGGTCCATTACTACTTTCTCAACAACGGGTTATGGTGATATACATGGTG